TCACACGGCAAAGTGATAGATATTTGTGGGTTTTTGGCTAGCATAATAACGAGCAGTTATGATCTCTCCCAAGTGTCTGTGTCAATGTTGAAATCTTTCAGGCCGCGTTTCCAAATGTTGTTATACCGTAGCTTTGGCTTTCCAACAGGTCTTATCCGTGTAAACAGTTCACCGTACAAGAGACCTCTTTCCCAGCGTGGGTTTCGGGGCCCCCAAAAGCATTTCGTAAGAGTTGACTAATTGGGAGCTTCCTTCGAAGTCGGAGTGCATCTGCCTGAGAGGCAAGGAACCAACAGTGTACATACAAATAAGTCCCATTTGTAAAACGGATGCACATGCAACACTCAGATTCTGGAACAGTATTACAGTCCAGAAGTTGACGAACAACCAGAACTTTCCGCTGGAGTTAACAGAAAAGCATTTCGTAAGAGTTGACTAATTGGGAGCTTACTTCGAAGTCGGAGTGCATCTGCCTGAGAGGCAAGGAACCAACAGTGTACATACAAATAAGTCCCATTTGTAAAACGGATGCACATGCAACACTCAGATTCTGGAACAGTATTACAGTCCAGAAGTTGACGAACAACCAGAACTTTCCGCTGGAGTTAACAGAAAAACATTTCGTAAGAGTTAACTAATTGGGAGCTTACTTCGAAGTCGGAGTGCATCTGCCTGAGAGGCAAGGAACCAACAGTGTACATACAAATAAGTCCCATTTGTAAAGCGGATGCACATGCAACACTCAGATTCTGGAACAGTATTACAGTCCAGAAGTTGGCGAACAACCAGAACTTTCCGCTGGAGTTAACAGATGGTGAACGCGAAGAAGAAAAAGAATAAGAGACACTTTGAAACGTGACTGTCCTCCATGCGAAAGAAATGCCCCAACCAACGCAGACGTCTTGCTTTATTAAAAAAGTACATTGTTTGCATTTCTGCTCTTTTGGGTACACATACATTGGGGACAAAGTCTCACCGCAATATACAAAGCATGCATCTCATATTGTGCATGTACAAAGTCTCACCGCAATATACATAGCATGCATCTCATATTGTGCATGTGTAAAGTATTCAATCTTTTTTTTTCTTGCGAAGCTTACAGAGTCCAGGTTTCACTGCCATAAAGTAGCGGGCGCAAAATGCAAGCATCATAAACTTTAATTGTGGTCCTAACCATAAGCTTTTTTCTAACCACACTTTTGTCATGAGTTTAGGGGGCTGCGTGGTCTCGATGTATGGTGTCCGCCTGGAGTGCTAGAGGTTCCGGGTTCAATCCCCGTGAAGGACTGGGATTTTTTTCACGTGGACTTGGACTTCTAGTAATTCCTCTGGTCTCTGGATAGTGAGATCGGACGCCCCCGTGGGCATTGTTGTGCATGTAAAAAATCCCATTGTAGTTGGAAATCGAAAAGAGTAGCCAAATGGCGCTGCCCGGGCAAAATTTCCTTTATAAAGTCAAAATTGCATGTGTTTGCGATGCGAGAAACAAACAGTCTGTTTATAAATAAGCCAGATCTCTCAAACTTATGGACATGCAAAACTCATGTTCTGGACCAAGATCAAAGACCAGAAATGGATGAACAATCAGAACTTTTCGCCAGAGTTTACAGGGCATGAATGCTAAAAAAAGAAAAGAACAAAATAAAACCGCTGAAGAAAAGAAAAATTAGAACGATAAAGTACCTTGACCCCATTAAATGGCACAACAATCTACATGAGGATTTATGGATGTATGGCTAGGGCTGTTGCCACGGACTGTACAGGTGAGGATTTATGGATGTATGGCTAGGGCTGTTGCCACGGACTGAACAGGTGAGGATTTATGGATGTATGGCTAGGGCTGTTGCCACGGACTGTACAGGTGAGGATTTATGGATGTATAGCTAGGGCTGTTGCCACGGACTGTACAGGTGAGGATTTATGGATGTATGGCTAGGGCTGTTGCCACGGGCTGTACAGGTGGGGATTTCATTTTTTTTTTCAGCCGTCAGACAAAATACCCCAACTTTACTGAGGATCTGAGCCTGGGTCTTATACTTGACAGCCAAGTGTTCTAACCTTCGGCCAGCCGCTCCTCACTGAATACTTCACTTGCATTGTATATAAATTTTTGTTTAATCTCTGCCTATTTCTCCAGCTCAATTTACATTCATTTCTTCTTCTCAACATACACCGCCTGTAAACTCCAGAGGAAAATTATGGTTGTTCGTCCACTTGTGGACTTTGTTCATAATCCAGAACTTGAGTTTTGCAAGCCAAATTTTACAGTTCTGGTATATTTGTAAGCAGACTGTTGGTTCCTTGTCTCTTAGAAGATGCAATCTAACTCGCACCCATGTGAGAGAGAAAGAGAGAGAGAGAGAGAGAGAAAGAGAAATGTGGTACTAAATGTTAATAATGAGAGATCAGGTTAAATCTGTATATTGTTTCAGTATCACACACACATACATGCACGCACACACAGAAAGAAATTCCATGTTTGGTTTAACATAACAAATAAGAATGGCAACAATTTAAACAAACCTTAATCAAATTCAATTAATAGCCATTATTAACATTTAGTACACTATTTGTCACAATGGAGGCATCCAACCTCTTAAACAAATTATAAAGAAAGAAATCATACTCATCAATGTTTAATTTATAATTTTAAACAAATCTTAAATCAAATTTAATTTACAGCCATTTTTAACATTTAGTAGAATGTCTGTCACAACGGAGGCATTCAAAATTTGATGAAAAATTAGCAAGAAAAACGTGGCGCGGTGATTTATGTCACAGGCGTGAGGGGAAGTTAAGTCCAACATGATGTGTATAAGGAGATACTCCGTACGTCACTCGGGCACCAGTCCTTCACTGTTCTGGTTTTACAGGAACCTCACGCAAGACCCCTGCAGCACGTCCTCGTCGTGCGCCACGGATAATGTCTCAAATGAGCATTAACAGAGCTGTCAGGGGATCTCGGAGTGCGGCGGCCCCCAGAGGTGATGTGTCCTTGTGGCTCTCATCAGCCCGCCCCCAAACGCTTGGGTGAAAAAGGTTATCAAAACTCATTAGGGAACATGAGTATGTTTGCCAAACGTACAGCTTAAAAATCACAACCCTTGGTTAAAAGAATGCGGAGTGAGAGAGAACATTCTTCACTGTACAATCCTCTGTTAACCCTCAGTGTCGTCGTCACCGCGCTGAGGTACACCACAACAGCAACCATCCCTAGGCTGGCCATCCATGTACATCCTTGGTTAACACTCAGTGTCGTCGTCACCGCGCGCTGAGGTGCACCACAACAGCAACCATCCAGAGGATGGCCATCCATGTACATCCTCGGTTAACCCTTAGTGTCGTCGTCACCGCGCTGAGGTACTACCAAAACAGCAACCATACATAGGCTGGCCAGCCATGTACATCCTCGTGTAACCCTCAGTGTCGTCGTCACCGCGCTGAGGTACACCACAACAGCAACAGCCCATTGGCTGTCTAAGCCAAAATGTCCGACAAAACTAGATCCTACGGCACACGAGTGAGCTCAAAATCTGACCACCACAATTTGTACTGAACGGAAAAAGACCAAATGTCCACACCCAAAGACCCAACTTGCCCGAGTGTTGGGACCAAACTGATAACGCTAACCTGACGCAGGATGTAAAATTCTGTCGGGCTAACAAGAAATCTAACGTGCGAAGAAAAAAGAATGTACCTATTCGTGTGGTCACAAAAGTCCAAAACCCACGGGCTTCTACCCGCTGACTTCCAGAGGGCGCAGCTCTTGTCGAGCGGGAAGCCTGATACGGTTGTGAGGTTAAGCAGGCATGTGCAGGACGTGACGATTCCTTGGGTGAGCCTAGAACCAGAGCGCTATGTGCCAGCTCTACATACATGGAAGCCTCCTTGGATGGCGGGGAATGCCCATGATCTGCCCCTGCCTTCCCTTGAGGGCTAACTGTTCCACAGGGGGCTGCCCCAAAGGGGTACTCTGGGGGCAATACCTGTGGAAAAGGAGACAAAGTGGACTCCACACAAATCAGGCAACGTCTTGACCCACACAAAACAATGGCCACAGTCAACCTAGAAATAGGCCTGACGTCTTCCTTCGAAGTCTGAGTACAGCTGCCCATGAGGCAAGGAACATTAAAACGGTTGTACACGCAAAAATCAGGTCCGGGTGAAAGCCAAAAGTCCAAGCGGACGATTAACCGGGACCTTCCGCCGGAATTCACAGCCGGTGAACGCAAAAAAAAAAAAAAAGCAAGAAAAACAACAAGATAAAGAAATCATGCTTATCAATTTTCAGCCATTATCAACATTTAGTACAATGCCTACCACAAAGTAGGCATCCAATATTTGAGATAAATTACATAAGCGACTGATTTAAAAAAAACCTGAAAGAAATCATACTCAATTTCAATTTATAACATTATAAACACAAAGTAAAACTAGTCTCACAAAATATGCTTCCTGAACTAGATATAAAATAACAAAAAAACTGGGAACAAATCTGAAAGAAATTAAAATCAATTAAATTCAATGTTTAGTCAGGAAGCCTTGAATATTACTGTAATTTAAATGCATATCATCATCAAGTGCCTTGCCAGCTGGCATAGGCATTCATGCATCTCCACAGATCTCAGTCTTTAATGTTCTGGAACAATTCCACTGATGATATTCCTCTATCCCACTGTCTTAAGCCAGCCACCATAATATCCTTTGGTCTGCCTCTGCTATCAGTGATCGTTCCAGTCGTCCAGATATTTTCCAGTGCTCTTTTCTCATCGCATGACCAAAGAACATTATCTCCTTTTTATTGTTTATATGATGTTCTATTTTCACAAGCATTTCCAGGCAACCATTGTTAGTTATTCTGACAGTCCTTCTCAAGAACCACATCTCAGTTGCCTCCAAACACTTCTTAATCTGTTTGCTCACATTCCAAGATTCACCACAAACAACAGAAGAGGTTCGATACAACATTTCAGTACTTTAAATTTACAGCAAAATGAAAATTATGGCAATGAAACAAGGCACATGACTGTGGTATAAGCATGCAACAATTTGGGTGGGTGTCTCATCCGGTACAGCTCCTGCTTACGCCGCATCTCGGCCAAATCGCGTTTCAGCTGAATCTCTGACATTCTGTCCTCTCTGCTACCTGCGGATGAATTCTGGGTTTCTAATGACTGAATCCTAGACTTCAATTCTGCTTCTCCAACAAACAGTGGATCTAGTGGAGGAAAGTTGCATCCAACTTCACCATTTCCAAAAAAGCCCAACAATGGAGTGTTGGGGAAATGTTTCCGGAATATGTTAGATTCCACATTCTGCGTACCGTAGACATGAGCTCCTCGACCAACACATGCATACATGAGCCCAAAGCTTTTGTGGAGAGGAAACTTGTGCTCTGCAAGAGTCTGTATGGCGCGCTCCACATCAGCTATATCTTGGCCTCGGATTAGCACAGACGCCACCTTAATATCAGCACCACACAGTGCCAGGCCTGACACGATACAATCTCGGTCTGAGCTGTAATTAAACAAAATGAATTATAAAAACAGAAAAAGATTCAGCCAAATTTGAATAAATAAAAATGGGCACAAATAATCAAGTACAGAAACGGTGAATATACAATTTCCAAGTGTTTAAGAGAAAATGAATAAATAAGTTGGAAAAAAAAATGTAATGCATTTTTTTTTAAATCAACAAATTTTGGAATTTGTCATAAGAAAAAATAACTTTGCTGAACAAAATACTGAATCATGTAGAAAAGATTGGTAAACTTAAAATATAAGCAGAATCTTATATCTTCCAAAGCAGTAAAAGAAGACGAAAGAAGAAATAGAATGAGCTCAAACAAAAATGTCTGAATCATAGAAAACATTATTTATTTAACTTTTGAAAAAAACAAAAAACATGAAACCCATAACTTTCACACATGGTAATGAGAAATGAATAACTGACTTCCGGTCAAGATGGCGAGGCAAGGAGGTGTTTATTTTTCAACCAGAATCTAACTGGGATCAGTTTCAGACATCCTAGAGTGGAAGTTGTGTTAAACTAGTGTGAGTGTGATTGTCTAGTTCAAGTGTGACCCTCTAGGAAGTTTGAAAACACTGTGCCTGGTCTAGCAAACTGGCAGAGGTTTATTTAGTGCTTATAGAAAATAAAGAGATCTCATGAACCGACTAGAATGAAAGGGATGGATTCTGCCCTCAAATCATCCGGGGAGTTGAAAAAAGAACTGAGTTTTAAAAAAAAAAACAATGAATCACATTTTGTTTTTGAAACAGTAACCTTTGGAAGAGTTAATGAGAAAGGAATAATTTTGCTGAAAACAACATTGAGTCAGCTTTTTATAAAAAGCTGGTCACTTTTAGGTGTATTAATGAATCATATAAGCGCCCCCAAAAAATATTTGAATTACAGAAAGCTTTTTTAAAACTCACAAGAGTTCATGAAGAATTAATTTATTAAAAACAAATCATGTAGAAAAAAAACTTATTTAAAAAAAAAAAAATTTTTTTTTAGAAAAAAACAATCAATATTTTTTTTAAGTGGTAACAGGATTGAACATATGTGCTAAAAAAAACTACTGACACACTTAAAACCAAAATTAGTACCTTTCTGAATTTTGACTTTTAGGTGCAGCACAATAAAACAGACCATACAACTAACTACCTAACTATGGCTGCTTTGCAACTGCAAAAGCAAGGGATTTTGCTTAGCTTTGATGAACTGATGCATGCTAGACCAAATGTCAAGGGCTTCTGACAGCAAGTGGACAATGCAGAAGTGTGAGCAGATCAGTATGGTCTGGAGCAGTGGGGGTTGGTGAATGACCAGGGGGGGATCTGGTCGACATTTAACAAGAAGGACACACAATAAGACTACTACTGGTACAATCAGAACTGGACCTCTGTACTGGCTGCTGAAGACGGGGACAGCATTTTTGGGAATGTCCCAAATGTTGTGATGTCACTTCTTAACTCAACTCAACTTGTTGGTTAATTATTAGTAAAGAAACAAGTCACTTGCTATGGAAAGTTAGTAAATCATGAACATGTGGTTTTTTTTTAAAAGCTTACCCATAGGCTCCTGAAAAATACCTTGACACAATATACCCAAAATGAATCACAAATGAAGGCAAACCATAAGTAAGCTGTATTAATAATAAAAGAATAAGAGCAATAGTTTTTGTTCCAGAGCAATTTTCATAACACTGCTGTTAAGCTACTAAAAAAGGTTTCCCTCAAAGGTGCAAACACTGACTTTCTAAAAGAATAGAATTCTTCACAGAAAACTATATACACTAAAGATACAAGGCAACAACAGATTCATAAAAATATACCCCTATGCTTTTAGACCAATGTTCTCCAACCTGGGGGCAAAACCCCAAGGGGGACATGAGGTAGTATTGGGGAGGGGGTCAACCAATGTTGACGCTTTTGTACTTGTAATGATCCAGATTTTCAGCTTTAAGTCATGAAAGCAAAACAACAACAAAAAGTGTCTATACTTGGGGGGGGGGGTTGGAAAGTAGAATGAAGTGTAAACTGGGCACATCTCAAATCTTGCTTCTGATGCCTAATGAGGTGCTTGTTATCTGAATTTTGCTAATGAGAAGCCCTTCACATTCAGGGGTGGTGGAAAGAACTTCAGGTTGAGAGTCAATATTATTATCCTGATATGCTGTTAAACATCACACACAGCTAGAAGTTAATTCCTCAATTCCCTTTTATCTTACATAATTATTTCAACATTGTGTATGGAACCCAGCCTGTCTGCACGAAAAACTCAAGTTCTGGAACAAGACCAAGGTCCAAGAGTGGATGAACCACCAGAACTTTTCATCAGAGTTTACAGCCGGTGTGTTGTGTTAGCAGAATTTGTCGACATTTGAATGCTTATCAGGAGGTACATTACACGAGTTCCTCATCACAGCTTGACTCTTCAAGGGTTGGGAGAATTCTACATTATTACTATCATCCTCTGACTTCTTTACTGTTTATCTACTTTGTTCACCAAAAATTAGAATGAAAAAAAAGCAAGCATTTGTGTATAGACAGAGACAGACAGTTAAACATCTAGACAGACAGATAGATTAGATAAACAGACAGATAGTCAAAAATATAATTTTAAAAAAGCAAGCATTTGTATACAGACAGACAGCTAAACAGTTAGAGAGACAGACAGATAGATTGGATGGATAGACAGACAGATAGTCAAAAAGACTTATTATGAAGACAAAATGTATATTATGCAAGAGCAACATTTTAGGAAAGCTATTGTACAACAGTGAGTATCGGGAAATGTAACTATAGTTCGTTCAACTTCTCATAAACACACTTTCAAGCCATTTTCTCAAAAACTGCTTGTTAGATCGCAACGATGTTTTGCATGCAGCCTTAGAATATCCATGGGGCAAAAATAGTGGTATTCTTTAGTCCATAGATACTCAGGATGCTGAATACCAGCCAATTCCTTTGATCTTTTCGAATTAAAAATATTTAGTTTAGCATTGTTTTTAATTTCTTTTGACCTCCACAAATTCCCTAGTCAGTGTGGAAATTAAGGCTGGTGAAATGACATGGGATACAAGCAGCAGACCGACAGCAATGGAAAATCACTTGTGAAAGCCTCATGTGTTAATAATGACATGAAGAGGTGATATAGATAGGTAGAGTTGAAATGAATATTCTTATCAATGCTGTGCTATCAGTGTCAAACACGGACACTGTCTTCACAAGACAGAAGAAAAACAATCACAACAGAAATGAAATTTTTATGTATCATGCTAGCTGTAACAAGGAAAAATCAACTTAGAAGCAATGATATGAGAAGGAAAGTCGGTATAGAACCAATACTGAACTTTGTCAGCAGACAATAAATTAAATAGTTCAGCCGGACAGAAAGACTGGCAACACAGAGAGCAATGTTACACAGATACAACAGTAACAGTGCCACAAGTCGACCATGCAGAAGATGGACCGCAGAAATATTGATATTTAACAGTACCACAGATGAAGTGAACAGAAGGGTCCATTCCTGTGACAGACTGTTTTTAGAGAAAAAAAAAAGAAGAAATCAAATATAATGAGGTGAGGTAGCCAGTTCCGTACCTTGCTACTTTTTCTTCCCAGACAATATTCCCAAAACAATTCTGAAAATAATCCAGCTCGAATGTTTAATCAGCCGTTATAAAGGTGGGTGTAACCACGGTCGGATGTGCGCATACTGAAATCTGAAAAGTCCTCCATTACAAAAATGTCGCTGGCAGTCACTGTTAACTTGATGCTTAGCATCTACAGGGTAGTATAGAGAAACCTATAATCAGTGCATCTTGCATTCATCGGGCTTCTAAACAGAAACCTATGAATATAGGATGTGGTCCTAGGGACTGAAAAAGAGTTTATGTATAGAAATGAAATGGGCTTAACTGTGGTAAAGCTGAGAAATTCTAATCAACTGGAAATTGCATCGGATCAACTCATCTTTTTTGTTTTTCATATAGACCATTACAAATGTCGCTGGCAGTCATGTGTCTTTCAACAGATATCTGTCTCATGTACTTTCAATTATCTCTGAAATAGATGATCCTCCATGTCGTGATACCAAAATGTTTGACATCATTTCTCTTAGTCTCCCCCCTCCCCCCTGTCATGGCGTACTCCAGTCTTCCCTTTTCAAAACAAAAAGAGGTAGATTCCTTTTGATTTGGGCAATCAGTTTTCTTAGTGAGTTAATTTCTTTCAAGACATCCAAAAACAAACATGTTCATTTGGTCATCCAATGCCCATCTTTATTTTGCTGACCCTTGCCCCTTCTAGGAGCCCTACCTTCCATTTTTGGAATTCTAAGCCACCGTAGCATTTTAAAATGGTCCAAGTATTCTTGTTTTTAAAATATTATGCTATTTATGAGCCCTTTTCTATATTCAGGTTTCATGTAATATTTGTTTAATCCACGATAGTCTAAAAATATAAAATACTAGACAATTGTATATCCCTGTGTGGGTTCTGGGGCACATTCGGGAAGATGGGGGGTGGGGGAGAACTGCCACCCCACCCTGTAGCCCCAAGAAAACTTTTTCTCTGGGTTTTTGATGATATGATCTCTTTGTGTACTGACCACTACTCTTGTACAACAGCCCTGGTACTGGCTACAACTGGGTACAGAGTAGACATGATGGGTATGACTATATTAACCCAAAATGTTAAAGAATATTATTAGAGGTGAGCGTTTCTTTTTTAAAACTTTGATGTCACTGTGAAGTCATAATAATTTCATAAAAAAGAGTCGCTTTGCTCCACATGGCTAAATTTTTTTCCTATGATCAAAGGGAAAGAAAACTGTTAATTTTTTGCACTGTTCATATTTAGTGATTACTTCACATAAACTTTGTTTTTTAATTTTTTTTTGAAATAGTGACTAGAAGTGAATTTAAATAAAATTATTTCTTTTAAGCGACTTAACAGCTACACAGAAGCTATGGACTTCACGCTTGCCTGTCTGTTTGGTGGTCTAAGGGTTCAATACCCTCTTTTGCCCTAGTTATTTAACGTAGACTTTCAGAGAATTAGAAAAATGCATCTTTTAAACAAAAATTGGAGGGGCTAAAGGCTAAACAGATTTTTATGGGGTAAAATGAAATGTGTTGTAAAAGGCAAACAAGTGGTTTGCAGAACTGCTGTTTTGGGCCAAATTGTAGATATCACAGCTTAGCTGTAAACAACAACATCACATGTCATTATAAGGCGAAAGCAGAAGAAGAGAGTAATCAGGATCTACATATCTGGGCATGTTGAAGTAAAAGGTAATGAAAGAGGGGTCCAGCTAGCTGGTATTGCATCACTACATGCAGGAGGACAGAGCTAATATCATCACTATACGGACTAGGCTAGAGGACAATGATGAATCTCTGGCTCTAACACAATTGCATGACATGGTGTTGAAGCATGTCTGTGAGGTCAAGATAGAAGACACTGTAAACAACCTTTCATGGGAACAATCAGTAGAGGTAAATTGGGAGGTAGCTACACCAAACCACTAGGCACACAAAGGAATGCCCAGCATGCAGTGACACTAACCATGATAACATAACTCTCTCTGTCTCTTGTTCTGGTTGTTCACTCTCACATTCTTGACTATCACGGTGATGGTATCCTCCCATTTCTATCGTTCTTGCCCCAATACTTTCAACTTCAATATGGTTTTTTTTAAAGTGTTACTGCTTTTATTGTGACTGAAATATTTAACTTGTTTCTTTTTTATGTCTTTCAACACTCTTTTCATTCTCAGTCTTTTCAGAGCCTCTATATCTGTATTTGATTGAAAGCAGTATAGGTTTTCAGGGTTCTTTTTTTTTTTTGATTTGACTCTTTTATCAAAACCAAATATCTTGAAACATTTCTGTTGCAATATCTAATCAAACCATGGTACACTCAGCTACTTGGCATGCTGTAATGTTGTGAGAACTTAATATTGTCAGATTCTTGTTTCAATCTGTGTCTATATAATATATGTAAAGATGCTCCCCAAGTATTAAAATTCTTGCACTTGTTCCAATTCTGGTCTTTTATGTTCATACTGATGGTTCTATGTTCTCTGCCCACACTCTGGAGATGATTCTATATTTTCCTTCCCTTTTCTACACTCATATTTTTGTTTCATATACTTTTATATTGGCAGCTTTTATTGTGTAGTAGCTAGCATGCTTGCCTGCAAACCCAGTAATTGTGTGTTTGAATTCAGAATATTTTTCAACAGGAAGGGGACTAAAACTTTGTCACAGCTCTGTTCCTAGACCAGCTGCCAACCAAGGGTAAGGGTCTGGTCTGTCCTGCCATAACATTCAATTTTCAGGTTGCATTTCCTCACCCTCTAAGGTCAACACTGCCTTAAATGAGCATAAGAAACATTCTGGGAAAGCAAAGGTGGCACCACTTCCCAAAATAAGTTTGTTCTGCAGTACGCCTCAAGTCGTGAAAAAAAAAAGTAAATGACCTTTATTATGACAGTAGCACATCATTAGAGACCAATCAGTACTTGGTGGGTGATGTGGACAACATCATGACAGTCATCTTCACTTCCCAGGTCATTACCTGGTAGCTATTTTAGGTTGGGTCAACCTGGGATCCAAGGTCAATTGTAAACAAAATTTGATTTAATGTGGATACAAACCCAAGACTGACCTTCTAAGAAAAATAGCATGCCATATTTACTGATTTAATGTGGATGCAAACCCAAGACTGACTTACTAAGAAAAATAGCATATTGTTTTTACCTGTTTATTAAGTAATGGCTGCATACATTGTGGAATTTGACCTTTCGCCTCTGCCCAGTATTTTGTCATAGAAACACACTCTTCATGTGTCAGTGCAAAGGGAACAAACTTCATGCTTGAGGATGCACCAAACATAATTAATGACATTCCTTCTTCATACTCCTCCCTGTCTAACTCTAGTGTCTTCATATTGGCATCAGTTCCTGCAACAGCCAAGTATAAAAACACACGTTACTCCCATATTGTTCTTGGTATAGCCAAGCTTAAATACAAACAGTATAACAACATTATACTTCTTGTTCTTACAGCCAAGAATGCAAACACCTTCTTAGCACAGAACTGCTGTAAACTTCTGTGGAAAGGTTCTGGTTGTTTGTCCACGTCTGGATTTTGCTCTTGTTCCAGAACTTGAGTTTTGACTGACTGACTTTCTACCCCACCAGGACATCACACAAGCGATAAACACCCGATGACACAATGTGCCACCATGTGGATGAGGATTACCGTGGAGAGGTCCCAGAAACCGCATTCAGCCATATTTATGGCCAAGCTATATTGTGGCCCCTGGCATGTACCAGAGTAGGGCTTCAAATAACGAAAAATTGCATCCTAAAAAGGGCGGCAAGATAGATTACTAGAACTTGAGTTTTGCATGCACACCCTTTTTACAGAAATAGTTTATTAGTATGGTGTTCCTCATCTCTCAAGTAGAGTAGATGCACTCCGACAATAAACTCTTCTACAATGAGTGGCCTTTTTACAACAGGCTTGTCAGGAATGATGGGGAAAGGGGTTTAATGGGTCTATTGTTTATGGGGCCCCAGAACCCTCATGGGGAATAAAAATATGAAGTTCTTTACAAAACACTACTTTTTTTTCTCTAGAACAGCCAATCATACACATGCCATGTTATTAACAATCTACTATCATGTCCAGTAAAAGCCAAGCATAAATACATGCTGTTATACCACATTATACAGTTTTACAGATCTGGCTATCTGCATAGGGTCAAGATCACATTAGGTCTGGAGTGCAGAGAGTGGCCAGCAGAGGCTATGGAGGTGCAAGTCCAACAGTTGATTTATGACAATTCTCGTCCAGATGATCTGATCATTTATACAGATGGTTCTGTGTTGAGAGGGAAGAGAAATGCCTGGGGGTTCGTAGTGAAAGCCAACAGAAAATCTTTAGTGCAGGATAGTATATGACACCACAACTTTTAGCATAAGAATGGAGGTGGAGGCGGTCACTTCAGCTTTCCAGTGGATACAGAACAAGATGCACACATGTCATAATTGTAACAGACTCTGAAAGCATGCCGAAAAAGGTGAGGACAGTGTTGCTTCAAGCAGAGTGGCAAGCTTCACTTGGAAGGTCACGGGTAGTGAGCATGCTTTCGATTTTTGTCTCCAGACAATGTCGGCGTAGTGGGGAATGAACAGGCAGTCAGATTGGCTGGGTCTGCACCACTGGGTGGTAAACTGACACATGATAAGATAGATGTGGTCAGGGCACTTTGGGAAGAAGTAACGAAGTCAGAAGATAAACTAGATTATTATGTCATGGAGAGAATGATGCACCTGGGTGTGACCAGAGGGTCTGGGGAGCTCACTACATTCAGAGGAAAAGCAAGACAGACATATAACCAGACTATGACCATACCATTAGTATTGGTACTCTGCGCTGGCTACTGAAGATGGGGACAGATCGCATATAGGAATGCCCTGAGTGCTGTGATGTCAGTCTTGACTCAACTCAACAGATCTGGATCATTTATTTGCATGCAGAATATTTTTACACCGGAACCCAGTGACGCAGAAATAACGGCAGACCCAAAAAACACACGGAGGAGGGAGCTATAAAAGGTTAAAAAGATGGGGAGGACATGGGGTGAGCTGCGTGCAATAGCAAAGGACAGAATGTCTTGGCCTAAGTTGGTTGAGGACCTATGCTTCATCAGGAGATAGAAGGCAGAAGAAGAAGAAGACTACTGGTTCCTCATCTTTCAAGCAGACGCACCAAGACTTTAAATAAAACACCTCTAATTAGTCATTTTTGACAACATGTTTGTTGCCCCCAAATTGGGTCCTGGAACCCACACCACGGACAAATAAGAAGGCAAAATGTTCTGAAAAAGTTTATGTAAAAGAGTAGATCAATTTCAGAATGAATCATATTTACCTACAATCCCATCAGTGAGAATTAGAACATAGAAAATAATCCTTGTTTGAGGGTCACCACAACATAGGGAAACTGTATTAAAGAATTGCAGCATTAGAAAGGTTGAGAGACACTGATGTAGAAAGTAAGTTTTAAAAAAACAACCCACTAAACATACCTTCTCATGTTATTCACACGCAGAGCATATGGTAAATAATGCTTAAAAAAAAAAAAAGTCTCGGCTTCCTTTTTATGCTAACGGCACATAATAAAAGGCTCATATTATTAAGGACCAACTGAGGGATATATCAGCATCATGCTAACCTTAATTTCCCAGGACATGACCCGGTGCCCAGTTTAGATTTAATCAACATGGGAATTTCGGAACAAATCTGACACAATGCAGATTTAAACCCAGACCATCATACCAGAAGAGGAGCATCTAGCCACTTCACTACCGCAGCTCTCTGGCAAATGGTTCTAGATTTTAATTAGTATAGACCAGTCGACAGTGGATGGGTTATGTTATTATAGTTGACGTCACTGCACAGTGAGCAATCCCATGCATGCTCAGTCCTCCAATGCAGCAGCCACTCCAAGACACTTCTACTGACTATTCCCATGAGGAGTTGTTCATGTCTACTATCATGGTCTTGAATAGGCATAGCCATGCTTTACCACGCATTACTCCCAACTCACATGATTATGTTACAGTCAGAGATCCACCGATATCCACTAACCCAGTCCATACAGCATTGATGATATCTGCTCTGTCCATGCTTTGGCCCGAATGTGTGGGTGTATTGCTTGCCAGTTGATCCACTAATTCATTATGATTCCAACGACTCAGGTCAAGCACCACATGTTTCAGTCTCCCCTTCACTAGCAGATCTTGTCCATGTCTCCCATGATGTCCAGCAGGGTTTACGTAGCTGACATATCCAGGACAATGATATTTGTCTGCATTCAGCTCCATCCATTGGCTGAATTCCACCACTAGGTGGTGAATTGATACATGATAAGGCAGATGTAGTCAATGCTCTTTGGGAACAAGCAACGGAAAACAAGATTATTATGGCCTGGAGAGAATGAGGCACCTGGGTGTAACCAGAGGGTCTGGCCGGCTCACCACACTCAAAGGAAAGGCAAGACAGGCATAAAACCAGATTGTGACCAGTACCATCAGTATTGGAACTCTGCTCTGGCTGCTAAAGATGAGGATAGAGCACATATGTTCATAGAGTTTGATTTGATTACTGCATGTGTGGCTGTTTGTTCTGCTGCCCAAGTGAATGCTCTGCAAGCAGCAGTTATCAACATCATAGCCATGCTTGACGTAATTGCCTGGTAAGCACCACTATCATTTTTTGTTGTGTTCCCCATCCTTTGTGCTGTATATGTCTATAATTACCTTGACCCACGCTTTATTGACGCACATATGTAGGTGATAATGTCTTCTGGATACGAATGCTAATCTATTACTGCTCCTATCTCGATGTATATGTCTAGGAATCTGATTCCTGGTCTACCTCCCCAGTGTGATGACAACCTTCAAAAAGTCATGCATGTCTGCTGGTATTTTTGTTCATTCTTTTCCATGAATGATTTCGCCTAGAGCACATACCGCTGGATTACATTTTCAGCTTTGGCCATCCCAAAGCGGTTTCTTTTGAGACCACTCCTTTAATGTCATCAAAGCTTTGTGCAGTGAGCGATTAACATCTGCAACTCTGCATCTGAAAGCCACCATTGGTAAACCCAGGAAATTCCGCACGATGTTGCAGGAGTTGACTATTGTATTGTGCAGCCAAGTATGAGTGACATGGCTTCATTTGTACTTGGTCCAGTCTTTCTAGAAAGGTTCTGCTGACAGCGGGGAGGTCGATATCATAATCTACTATGCTTAACACAAGCAGCTGATAGAGAAGGAAAAGTAAGCATTGTTCAATATCAGCTGCCGCCAAAAATTTTCTGCCAACAATTTCAATGCTGTCAGACCTTCCCTGGCTCTATGTATATATATGACATTAAATATGTGACACTTGTCTAACAAGCAACTGTCAAAGGTGGTGCCAAGGTATTTAATTGCGTTCTGTCTCTTGATGTCTATGCCATACAGGGTTACAACTAGTGTAGGTGTTCTGACAATGTAGATATTCAAGGAGACCAACGTTAGGCAGCACTTTTTAAGATTTACTTGTGCTCTCCATATGTGTGACAATAAGCTCGGTGACTTCAGAATGTCTTTCCTCAACCTACTTCTATTTGTATGTATTTTAAAGTATACAGAACAATATGGGTTTGGATACATCCCTAATCTAAGTAAGGCGACCCCAACAAACATTTATTTCTCCTGGACTGTTGTTGATATCAAACACTGAGACTCTTTCCCAGATGTAAAGTGTTAAGGTAGTCTTTGTGATGCCTGTGAGTCTGACCAGCTCAGACTTACTGGCTGGATATTTGCACACCACCTGTTAATTGTCAGATAATTATCTTCTAGCCAGACCTTTAGGAGCAGATAACTCAGGCTAATTGTCATTATCTCCCCCTGAGGTTACCTAACTTAAGGCAGGTCGGATGGTCACTATTGACTTAGTGAGCCGAAAGTGTTAGCAGAAGATTGACACATCGGATAAAGGTGACGGCACGTTAAAGAAAGGATGGGAGCTGTGACGTTGTTTATTAGCTTTGACCAGCTTGATTGAACCTGGAGAATGTGACCGTGGGAATTCAAACAAGTGTTTTACAGCCCTGACTGACAGCGAATAGGCTTACCCCCGGGAAGGAGGTGTGACATCATTGGATGAGAATGGTTTTAGAAGTAGTGTAGGAGGAGCTTAATAAAAGTTATAAAAGTGTGATTCTAGAACTGGTAAATGAGACTCTGTCCAGAGCATGCCATCTGTTGGGCTTACAACCTAAGCTTGAGACAGAACTGTTGGCATTGTGGTTTCATTTTCCAGGTAAGAACGAAATCTAACTGTCTTTTTACTCAAGTGTGTGTCTTCATCACTTTGTAATACTCCTAGGCGGATATTTCTCCATTCTCTTAGGGCACTGTCACATTGCTTTATATCCTAATTGATAGTGTCAGGAATGTTTTTTCGTGCACATGTGTTTCAATGTTGTAAAACCTAAATGTTGATGTTACCATTGAAATTTAATGAACTATCATGTTTTTGAAATCACAAGCATGAAGATAACTTTGGCAATCTTGTCACGTGTGGTTAATGTGAATCTGTATTACATACAGCTAACACACTGAAATGTGTTTAACTCCCGGGAGGCTAATGCGGAGATTGATCCCGGAGAGTGAATCCTTAAGATTTGTTATTTGTTTCGCCCCAGAAATATTGTTAGCATTCTGGGCGGGTCCATGGTTCCAAGCATGGATTTCAGAACTTGTTCTGTCTGACTGATTGTCATTTTGAGCCTGTACGAGAGATGGCATCTAACGTAGAAGACTTGACTATCATTACAGGACGTGTGTAGAGGAAGGCAGAAGATGTCACGGCTGGAATGTGATACATAAGCCCTTCCAAATTGGACAGGAGTGAATGTGAAAATGAGGGAGAGGTGAAATGTTTTATTTAAATAAACATGTTTGATGTTATTATAATATGCATGCTTAGTGTACATCTAGAAAAGATACACATATGCGCTTGTTTCTTCATTCTCCAGTTCCCACATTGGGCAGGGACTAGTAGGCATCCATTCTTTGCCGACCGTCTGAGTGTAACGACCTGCTTGAAGCAGTGAGGACGACAAACTGGAAAAGAATAGGCCAGGTCTCAAGCCAAGAACTGTGGATACAAGTACAGCAACTTTCATTTCATGGAACGAGCCACTCGCTGTTTTCTTGGCTATCCAGGCCTGTCTAGGATCAACATAGCTTAGATATTAGTCCAGTTTCTCATGTGGGTGGGCATTGTTAAGGTTCAAACCCACACCCTCACTATATCAGTGTATTTACCCACGTGGGCTCGCGACAATATGGAAAGCTGATGTATGCATCGACTAAGTCAGAGGCGGCTGCAGTCATTTCCATTCCTGTCATGATACCTTTGTTATGTGTCATATGCAAATACTGCAGCATTGCACCAGATATCTCTTCCCAGTAGGTAACCACCTAGTATAGTGGGAAATAAACCACCTGACTCCATTCTTAGGTCGTGTGGATGGGTGATGATGTCAACTTCCTGTCAATGGACCTTTACTTTCTGGGATATTTACTGGACTATGTTTTAGCCTGAGAATTCTGGTCATATTATTAAAAATGTTCTCAATAATACTGTTTAAAAAAATGTTTTCCATAATATATCATTTCAGTTATGTTATTTTAAGCAATAAAAAATTACCATATCTAAATATGATAAAAATATGTTTCATACCAAAATGTAAGAAGTAACGTTGTCCCACCAGGATCTGTCAATGCCATTAACTGCTGAGGTATTGTCATGTAAAAAACAATTCCATCTCAAATACTGGCGCCGTTCCTTTTCTCGTTTGGCCTGATCTCGCCATACTTTACAAACCCTAAGGGATTAAAAAGAAAATAACACAAATAAAATAAAAATTCAATTTCTATATAATGGTACTAATGAATGTTCCATTAAAAACATACTTATATCTGAATACAATTAAAAACAACAGTCAGCGAGGTAATTTCAAAAAAGTAAATGTGGTATAATGACGAGTATCCTGCCATTTTATTTTATGTCAACTTTAGGGCAAAAATCTCAAGTTAAAAGATTTATTTATTCTCATTCATTTGTTTAAAAAAATTTCAATGTATAGGCTTTTTGTTTGGGGATCCCCTTTATTTTCCATCTTTTGTGCATTCACCTGTCATATGTCACATAAGGCATGTAGTTGATTTCTCCATTTTTTATAACCTTAGGAGCCCAATGGCTTCCCTCAATGTATAGGCTTTTTGTTTGGGTGTTCCCCTTTATTTCCATCTTATATATACGTATTGGAATATAGTGTTGTGTTTTTTTCCAATCATGATGTCTCGTCTCATCAAATCTGATAGGAAAAATTTTAGGATTCTTGTCCCCTGTAACAGCTGTCACAATGACTTTAACTCCTTCTGGACTTATAAGGGCAGGAAGCCAGATCAATGCCAGCTGTACCCGTTGTTTGTTGTAATGATCAATGCGAACAGTAATTCCATTGTTCCAGAGTATTCTCCTTCAATCTAGACTTTCATAGTTCTGTCCTGTGCATTTTTTTGCAACATTATTTCTGGCATTTATACCACTTCTCTGTGTACTTGGCCACTTTTACCAACATCCCTTGCAGCAATTCTTCTGAACCACAGTTTCCTCAAATTATGTATCTCCCATTTCAGTGGCTTTTTTGGAGATTTACAACTCAGATAAACATATCAAATGATTAGCTACTGTATGTGTGTGAATCTGGACATAAGGTTTGTCTCTGAGCTGTCCATTACCTTTGATTCTAATGCATCCATTAATAACAAACTTGATATTTTTTAAATCTAAATTATATTTACTAGCTGTGCCCGGCCACGCGTTGCTGTGGCCCAGACTGGTGAAATGGAAAAGAAAGACAATAGTTCTCAGCTAACAGTGTCTGTCATTCCAGTCATATCTCCCGCTCCGAAGGATTGAAAAATCATCCCTGGCAAAAGTATTAAAATAGAAAAAGTTGAGAAATCAGAACTTGAAAAAAATGTTTTAAGCTCTCTCAGCTAACAGTGTCTGGCATCACCCTCACCTCCCCCCCCCCCCCCCCCTCCACCCAGTCTAATCTCCCTCTCCGAAGGATTGAAAAATCATCCCTGGCGAAAGTATTAAAATGGAAATAGTTCGAAAATGAGAACTTGAAAATAATGTTTCAAGCTCTCTCAGCTAACAGTGTCTGGCATCACCCCTCTCCCCACTAATCATATCATCCTCGCCGAAGGATGGGAAAGTCATCATCTGACGAAATATTGTAACTAAATTGAGCTTTGCATCTGTGTCCACCCAGACAGAAATGGGTATCATTAATGTGTCATGAGAAGTGAATGTGGCCAATGTAACAGCTACACAGCTACCACATCACTAATCCAGTACCAGTATTACTGCTACCACTAACACCATCACAACAACAATACAAAACGGTTACTACTGTCTGTGCAGGTCGGTGTAACCAGAGGAGTTAGCGCCGCATGTTGTCGCCATAGACTGTTTAGTTTAAGTGTGTCCCCGACATAAAACTCCATCACCTAACCAGTGGTGGAACCCACAGTAATATTCCGTGATTTAGAAAAAAAGTACACTTTACTCACAAATAGCGGAAATAAAAACCCGCACTCGTCATTTCTCCCTCTCCGAAGGGACAATGTTTAATTAACCTTAGCATCCGTGTCGACCCAAATCAAACTGGACCGTAAGCCTTCTTAGTTAACAGTTTCTGTCATCAACGAATAGTTTTTGATCGAGTGAAGCGTCGTGGGAAGGCTAATTTGGACTGTACTAAAATCAGATGTCTTTGGGTGTAAGGCGCAGATGTCGCAATTTAGCTGTAAACCACAACACAACGTGCCCTTCGCCCGTTTAAGGGGAAAAGAAAAATTAGCACCCAGTGGGGAATCGAACACCGGTCATCCGTGTGAAGGGCGGAATACTTACAACTCTACTACCGAAGACTGAAGACTTTAGGTCAGGTATCGCAGCCCAGCTGTAAACCACAACACAATGTGCCAACCTGCCTCTCAAGAGCGAACGAATATTGCCCGTGACATGAACATTAAGCATCACGTCGCCACTATCGCAGGCTAGCTGTAAACTCCAAAATCGAACGGAAAAAAGCGTAGATATTGCAGCCTAGCTATAAATCACAACAAAACGTGGCAGCCACCCAGTTAGGCCCCCCCCCCAAAAAAATTATATCACCCAGCGGGAAATTGAACCCCTATGAAAGGCGAAATGCTTACAACTAACTAAGCTACTAAATACTCAAAAAACAAACCTGGGCCTGCAACGTAATAACTAATGAAATGATCATTGCTGGAGCTACGTCGTTCGTGCAAAACTCATACATACAAACACGCGTGGAGTCTAAGGCAACGTTGTGTGAAAATTTAAAAGCGATCAGTAAAGAAATGTCAGAGATTGATCCTAGGGGAAAAGGCATCTATTGGCAGCCCTGCTCAGCAGTCGAAGGCGGCCGATCAACTAAAAACAAATCCGGGCGGGCAACGAAACAAATAATGATTTGACCGTTGCTGGAGCTACGTTGTTCGTCTGATTTTATGACAAAAAAATCACGCTTTGAGTCAGAGGCAACGTTGTGTGAAAATTTGAAAGCAATCGGTTCAGTAGTTTCTGAGTTTACAGTTAACAAACTCGGAAAATTAACATTTTTATTAATTTAGATTTCCAAAACACCTATGTGCAACATCAGTATGTTTGCAACAAGCCAACATCAATATATAGCCTAATACTGGACTTAATTGTTACAACCTTCAAAATAAAATGTTGCAAGTGCTTCAAAATAATATTAATAGTAATTATAAATTATAATAATAATAATGGAAGTTAGAAGCTATTATTTGTGTATAACTGTATTCTTTACAGGGCGTTGCAGAACCAACCCCAGCATTTTTTAGCTGTTGTGGTTTGTCTAGGTAAATTTTACGTTCAGTAGTTTGCCAATGCTTCTCAACGGTCAGCTCTAGGTACTACTGTCAAAACCATCGCAACCATTCGCAGCTAGGATCGAATCCCGGATTCAATCCGGCACCCCCGGAATTATTGCAAGGCTCCTTGGCAACGCCAAAAAAGCCACCACAGACGCCGAACATGGAAGGCATGGTTGGTTGATGTAACGGACGACAGATAAATTTGGCATGAAAAAGCAGACGGCAGAACAACTCGTGATAAACTGAACTGAGTCTATTCGCTTTCTTTCAGCGGGCTGTGAATTGATAAGAGCAAAGAACTAGTGACTTGACTGAAAGCGATAACTGATAACACATGGCTGTGAAAACCTAACTAACATCTGTCTTTACTTTTCTTTGAATGCACGCGCTTGGCTCTTGTTTTAATGCTAGTAAAGTTTAGCTACTGTATGTTCAGTTAAGCACTGAGTAAATTATCGATCTTATTGCTATAGTATAGTAATTTTAGCGGTTTGATTCAGACAAACTGAAGTCTTAAATGAACGTCAACTAAATCAGTGGACTGCCCGAATACACAAATCAAGTATAGTTTACTACTTTACTCTGCATACTATCACCTTGAACATGTATTCAGCTGTCTAGCATTTAGGTTCTTGAAGATTCTTTCCACAACAATGATAATATTTGTGAGTGTACTGCCTATAAAATCAGTCTCCATCCTGATGCGACAAGAAGTCAACAACAACCGGGTCTGTCAATGCCCAGCTAGCAAGTGTTCTCCAACAGGAAGAGGCGTGTTTAGTCTCAGGATATAAATAAACACTAGGGGGGCCAGCAAGGTTGGGAAACCCCTGCTTGAGGGATTGGGTACAGGAAGTCTGCCAACCCAACGGCCGACCATAGATAGCCGTGGTCTGACCTTGAACTTCCTCTCAAAGGTCCCTATCTCATGTTTTTTTGTGTCTTCCATTTTGCAATGGATTATTTGTTGCCAAGGCATATCCTTTACATGACGTTGCAGAACCAACCCCAACAGCCACTGGCTGTTGTGTGGTTTTTCTGGGCAAATGTATGTCCAGTAGTTTGCCATTGCTTCTGGACGGTCGCTTTCTTGATACCACTGTCGAAACCAACACAAGGCGCAAAGCCCGCAGCTGGGATCGAACCCGGCATCCCGGCATTACGAAGCGTTCGCATCGACTTAGCCATAGAATTGGCATGTGTTGGTAAACATTACGGAAATCTTTATAGAGTTAACCCCATCTATTAACCCACAAGGTCACTTTTCATTGGTTTTTTCTTAACCTCGTCAACTTTGCAGAAGGTTACGGGGGTGTTCCACGATACCTTTGATATCGCGTATTGAATACTTCAGCACGTCAGCGTTTTTAACGCTCTAAAAACATGCAGCACAGGCTCTAACACAACTCTCCTACGAGAGTGCGTGTCATTCTCTTTCTGGGAATGAAAACGTAAATGGGAGACAACACATAAAGCAAAAGGTAGAGCAGTACACCCCCGTAACCTTCTACAAAGTTGACCAACCCAACAAACTATGAATGAAAAGTGGCTTATTGCGTAAATGGGCAGGACTAACTCTGTTTGGGGATATTTTCGTAATACTCAACTATTAGTTACTTCATAAATAAATGCATATGGAGACGGCGGTGGGGGTGGGGGGTGGAAGAAAGTTTAGGTTAAGACAACGGATCAACATCATGGTACAGGGGGTAAACCATAAGTGCTCCGTCCTACTTCTGACTCAATCATGAGTCCGAAGAAACTCAGCGCAGTGCAGGAACTCCGTACTTTGGGTAGATTTTTAGCTGCAAATTTGGTGCTTTCCCAATATCTCCCCCCCCCCCCCATGACGTCACAGGACAGTCCAGTATTTTGTAGGGTAGTAAGAGCGGGTTTCCCGGCTTTCTGATGTCTTTAGTTTTACGCTGGTCTCCCCATTTGCACACCGCTACACATTATCTCGCTTCTAATTGGACGACCTACTGACCACCTCACTTCTAATAGGTCGGCCTCAAGCGATCCGACTTTCACACAAGGTTATATGGATATTCCGCACTCGCGCTCATACCTCGTGTTGTATATTTCACAATTTAAACACTTCTAAAACATTTAGATACTGGGTCTAACATACAACTCCCCTAGAGAGTGACAAAATCTGTGTCACAGGCCGTCTTTTTCTCGGAAATAAACACGTAAATACCAGGCAACAGACTCCAACACCCAAAACTTCGACCACGGTAGACTAGTCCAACGAACTTATCATAGGAGTGGACATACAACCGGTGGTGTGCAAATGGGAAGACCATCGTATAAATAAACATATCTAGAGCTGGGCCTAACTCCAACCTACCTACGTCCCACGAGAGAGTGCAGCCTAGGTACCACGACTGCGTGCAGCCTAGGTCTCACGACTGCATACACCCTATCTACAACCCCCTAAATTATTCGACTGTCTGTTTAGGGAGATATTGGGATAGAGCCCTACATTTTTCCAAGCATTTTTCCAAGGCAGCGGAGTTAGGCTACTCTTTTCGATTTCCAACTACCAAGGGATCTTTTTACGTGCGCAATAGTACACACGTGCGTCCGATCTTACTACCCAGAGACCAGGGCAAATTACCCCCGAAAGAGGGGGAAAAAGGGGGGGGGGTGGAGATAAAATTGTTATTAAAAAGAAAGTGACAGGGGAGGGAGTGACACAACGAAAGTGAGTGAGAGAAAGAGAGAGAGAGAGAGAGAGAGAGAGAGAGAGAGAGAGAGAGAGAGAGAGAGAGAGAGAGAGATGGCGGAAAGAAATAGTGAGACGGGAAAGAGAGAAATCTGTTCTGCATAAGTGTATATCCTGTATTTAGAACGCCATTGACGCATTGTTCACTACAGCATGCAATTTTCTAATTTGAAACTGAATATTTTAATGCAGATAAAAGTAGAAAAAAAAATCTTATATGCATAAGAACATGATTTAAATTTATAGATGATGTTTGTATAGTGTGTGTATAAGAAAATTAAGTTAGAGTGATTGGATTGCCCTAGTGGTTTAAAGGTAAAGGTGAGAGGAACGACTTCACTGCACCGGGTTTTATCACATATGGCTCAGTCTCTCTCCGCCTAATAGCTAGCTGAGAACATCACACAGAGCTCCGGCGACGATCACAGGGATCTCCTTATAACTGCACTCATGAACTGAACGGTGCCGTTATCAAACGAACCCAAGACCTTCAGAGCGCGCGATAAACTGCTTGACCACTTCACCACGGAGATACTCCTAAACTACTCAAAACACTGAATAGTTTGAGCAGCAGGTAATTGAGTGTTAGTCTACATCATCGTCATCATCATGTAGCAGGCCCTTTGAAATTGTTGCTGTTGTTGTTATCGATCCAGCGGCGCATGAGCTTTCGCCCTTTGGCTCAATGCCATGTAGTGGAATTTGCATGTTTTCACAAGCTGTTCTTTTCGTCCGCACAAGGTGTTCCACTTGTCTGGTCTCTGATGGAGTAGCAAGGGTCCTTTGCAGAATGTCGCTATCATCACCTTTTGCTTAAAAGAAACTCCGTCTCTCGCCAGTTATCCCGCCTCTTGTACTTTATTAGTCTTTTTTTCTAGCCCTTCAGAGGCTTTTTTTTTCTCCACGCTAATCTATGACACAGGCAGGAGAAATATACTGATATTCACCCGATTCGGAACACCGAATGGGGGAAGGGGAGGGGCCTCACAGACATAATCGCTTCTCGGAAGCGACATATTTCGGCCACATTAAACAGCATAACAGTTTAGAAAGAACAGTATTGTGGGGGATGGGGCGAGGGTAATTGTGCCGCAAATAGAAGACGGGTCAATCAGCACGACGATGGGCACAAGATATTAGACGCTCTGGGTATGAAAGTTAACAAGGCAGAAAGTTGGCAAGGACCCGATTGGCATTTGGTGTGCCCGCTGAGAGCGACGTTCTGTGTTTTCATGGTGGCTTTCATGTCACTACGTCAAGATAATAAAGTACGCATCTTTCTTTCTTTTCCTTTTTTAAAAATAATGTATAAAGCCAGTCTTGCAACAGTTTCTACCAGTCTTGCAACAGTTTCTACCAGTCTTGCAATAGTTTCTACCAGTCTTGCAACAGTTTCTACCAGTCTTGCAACAGTTTCTACCAGTCTTGCAACAGTTTCTACCAGTCTTGCAACAGTTTCTAATAGTCTTGCAACAGTTTCTACCAGTCTTGCAACAGTCTCTACCAGTCTTGCAACAGTCTCTACCAGTCTTGCAACAGTTTCTACCAGTCTTGCAACAGTCTCTACCAGTCTTGCAACAGTCTCTACCAGTCTTGCAACAGTCTCTACCAGTCTTGCAACAGTCTCTACCAGTCTTGCAACAGTCTCTACCAGTCTTGCAACAGTCTCTACCAGTCTTGCAACAGTCTCTACCAGTCTTGCAACAGTCTCTACCAGTCTTGCAACAGTTTCTACCAGTCTTGCAACAGTCTCTACCAGTCTTGCAACAGTCTCTACCAGTCTTGCAACAGTCTCTACCAGTCTTGCAACAGTTTCTACCAGTCTTGCAACAGTCTCTACCAGTCTTGCAACAGTCTCTACCAGTCTTGCAACAGTCTCTACCAGTCTTGCAACAGTCTCTACCAGTCTTGCAACAGTCTCTACCAGTCTTGCAACAGTCTCTACCAGCCTTGCAACAGTCTCTACCAGCCTTGCAACAGTCTCTACCAGTCTTGCAACAGTCTCTACCAGTCTTGCAACAGTCTCTACCAGTCTTGCAACAGTCTCTACCAGTCTTGCAACAGTCTCTACCAGTCTTGCAACAGTCTCTACCAGTCTTGCAACAGTCTCTACCAGTCTTGCAACAGTCTCTACCAGTCTTGCAACAGTCTCTACCAGTCTTGCAACAGTTTCTACCAGTCTTGCAACAGTCTCTACCAGTCTTGCAACAGTCTCTAACAGTCTTGCAACAGTCTCTACCAGTCTTGCAACAGTCTCTACCAGTCTTGCAACAGTTTCTACCAGTCTTGCAACAGTCTCTACCAGTCTTGCAACAGTCTCTACCAGTCTTGCAACAGTCTCTACCAGTCTTGCAACAGTCTCTACCAGTCTTGCAACAATCTCTACCAGTCTTGCAACAGTCTCTACCAGTCTTGCAACAGTCTCTACCAACAGTTTTGTTAATTTAATGCTCTTCGCCTCTGGAAGAGTGGTTCTCAGCTTGTGCATGCTGACCTTCTTTTGGTAGAAAAGTTGCTGAAGGTATGCACAATTATTTATAATTATTAGTATTGTTCACTGTGTGCTCAGTCACGTGATCACCATGGTAACTTCAGATTGATCACTCGATCTTCCTGTTTACATAACATAGGAGAGTTGAATTTTACTGCTACTTTAGTGCTACGTTCAGTTGCAAGATAGTTGTTTTACAGGATGGGGAGCTGACTCAAAACTCACACTTCCTCCTTTCGCATCCGAATTGAGTGAAAGGGTATTAAGAATCCACAAAAGTTGGTAACCATTGCAAAGCAACCTGAATCAAATCCTGAACGATTGCTTTTTTCTTGCCATCAAACAAAGAAGGTGAGTCAGAGTAAATCTTCGTGGGGTGAATTTTGTGAATTAATGATCTCAAAGTATAATTAAATCCCGGCTTGTGCATAATTGAGCGGACAGTAAGTTTATTTAGATTTGTAGATGTCGGATTTGT